CTATGAGCACGAATGTGATAAAACGTAGAAACAAGGTGGCCAGTATAGCAGCTTTGAACGGAAAGCTAAGCTTTTCTCGTAGAGATATTCACAATACCGGCATGAGATGTGAACGTTAAGTATTTACAGGGAACACCAACAACCAATAAAGAAATATATTTTCAACTAAATTGAATATCGAAATCGATTTAACCATATCTGTCTGTCCGTCCGATTGGTGATATAACATTTGCGACTTCATCGTTTATTTCACAAGATGAAATTTAATCGCAAATCATTGTGTATTAGATTAAGTTCACTAATGATCTTAATTGCTCTATGATTTCATTTCTTTCCATTCCTATTGTCGTACGAACACTTTAGTGCCTTTTAATGTACAACTTTTCCAGTTTATTGCTAAATTTTTCCTTAATGTAATCGCAGGAGAAAGTTTAAAAATCAAATTGATCGGAATATGAGTTTGTTGACAATTAATAGGTGAGTCCTTAAACTATCTATATATATCGTACAGTTACCTACAAGACGCTATTAAATCGCAATAAGATGTGATCATCGAATTATCATATTAATAAAGAAAAGGAAAGAAAGATGTTGCGGCCTTTTTGAAAAAATGCCGTCTATGGAAAACAAAGTCGTAGCGCTACATGCCACATCGATTATGTGGGGCACACAGACGCAAGCGATTATTAAGTAATTTTTCCAGAACAACGTTAACAAGGTACGCTGACTCGTTGAAAGTTCGTTGAAAGTTCGTTGAAAGCTGACTTTTAAATACTTTGAAAATATTTAGATGATCCTCCATGCGAAAGACGTTCAAGTGTTAAAGGGCTTACAAGAAAATTATTTCTTCCTGAAGGTATGTCATCAGAAGTAAATACGTACAAAGAGGAGCATCTCTTAAAAAGTACCTAAAATATTAATGAGTATATACATAGTTTGTGAAGAATTCAGTGTTTGTTGTTGAAAATTCCAAAGGCAAAGACAAATATGGCCTCAGTATTTACATATAATATGTGATAGGCAAAAAAATATATTGGCCATTGTTACAGCGATCATTTAGTGTTTCTAATATAGTATAATGAACAAGGTTAGTACTACAACAACCGCAAGGACTACTACATTTGTGCTTGTAGTGTATATAGGGTCTTTCAGTAAGAGATTTTAATTTTCTTCATGCAATAGAGGCAATATTTGTACGGAACACAGCCGGAGTTCCTGCCATTCTGATCAGGTGAATTTTGCCAGAAGACTGGCAGCCTCACATGCCAAACCTCGAGCGTCGAATGAATATAGTCGTTTTCTTAGCACTGATTTACTGATTAGTTCAGTAAACACAATGTTTTTATATTTTGATACATTTCGGACTTTCGATAATATTTCAGAGTAAGGGCTTGTCGAATTGTGAGAATAGGAAAATAATTTGCGATTTCTATGAAAATTATATTCGCTTGATTACACTTCACATGGCTTTTGAAGCTTTGTCGTATTGAAAACTCACCAATAGCAACTTCCGAGGATTATAAAAGTTGCTTTTATTTACATACTAACCAACCGGATGACATGAAGCTTCTTCCAGATGTTAACGACGGTTGCACTAAGATTGAAAACAAACCTTTCCATAGTTATTACAAGCGCGTGAGTATTTTAAAAAAACAATTGATTTCAGTACAATGTTTTCTAATGCAGGAGCGTTTTTTCTTCTCATATGTGTACTAGGTCAGTTAACTGTCGTAGGCTTTGTTGCGTATTTAGGGCACGTGCCAACTCCGGTAAGTATTTTAAAAGCTAGAATAGTTGTATTTCTCGATAGCCAATGTTGTTTATACATTATACGTCTGTCTGCAATATTTAATTGCTTAAATGTTAATTTCAGTTACTCTTCGATGATGGACAAGAAAAGCATTTGGATATAACTTTCGGTCCTTTCACCATATTTTCTTCAAAACTCTCGAAGTTTTCTATCGCTTGAACGTTACTCAGAACCTTAGTTGCAATTTTACTTATTATTATTCGAATTTCTTTAGTTAGCGAATTTCTATTATGTTGATGTTCCTCGGTAGACGCTTATGGTTTTTCGATTTTCTTTCGACCTTTGTCTGTGTCTGTTAATTTTATTGCCTCAACTCCTTTCCGAATATCTGCTTCCATTTGTGTTTCTTGTTCTTCAGTTTTTAATTCGAAATATTTCTCCCGCGAGAGCAAGAGAGAGAGAGAGAGAGAACTTTATTTGTACATTTTTTTAAATTAATTAAATTTAATACAGAAAAAGCCTTTCTTTCTTCTAGTGCTTTCTTAATTTTCTCTTTCTCTTGTTCCTATTTCTCTCATGAATTAAATCTTGCATTATTTGCAACGTCTTTAGCCAGAAGAGAGAGAGTAGCACTAATAGACCTTAGGTATTGCGATTTTCATCGGAATAAGCCTTGTGAGTTTGCAGTGTTTCATTTTGTGCTCTTGCCTGGAAAAGATTATAAAAAATGATTCTAGAAAATCGCACACGCTTACATGTAAATCGGCGTAGATAGTGGGCATGAAGCTGCTGATGCAAAAGATTTCAGAAAGGACGTCGGTTGAATACAACGTTTTCACATTTCTTTTGTAAATCGAAAGATGTGCAAACTTTGAAAGCTTATATATCTGTTTGGTTGTGTTGGCTATGCAACTTTATTTAATCTATATTATAATTGAAAAGCATGATCGCGTGCTTCAATTTAATCAAAAAATCCCCTCCTTTCGTTAATAAAACTCCGCTCATGGTAATTTCCAAGTTTTTAAACTGTTCTGGTCACAGTACACGTTTGTGCAAATGCACAAGTTCGCAAGTTTGAGTTACGACTACCTTTTATTATATCGATCGGTTGAAAATCGTTTTCTAGATGAAGATAAGCTTGTCTATAGGTCTGATGCCTGTCCGTGTATTCTTGCGCTCAAACTACAAATCTCAATTTTCGAAATATTTGATAGAATTTGTTAGACAGACTTGGCGAGGCGAATGCCATTGAAGCGGTTGGGGTTCGATCGAAAAATAGTGTAATTGTCGGAGTTTCTGAACAAAAATTACTTAGTAATAATCGTTCCTACAGAATCTGAAGCTTGAAAAAGTTAACCCTTCTGCATTTGGACCTCGTAAGTCCGTATTTTGATCCCAATATAAGGACTTTGATGAGAGATACCTCTTTACATACCCAAAAAGTCGAGATTTTAATATTTGTGATAAAAATTGGTCGCCGCACTATATACAGGGACTCTCATGAAGGTAAAGTTTTCTGTGGCGTCAGACTGTGATAAGTAAGTCTTCGATAAGTAAAATTAAATTTGAACCTAGTTAGTTGACGTTTTGAGTATCCTCCAATATGAAATCCTATGCCTTCACTTAAAAATAGTGTATAACTTTTGTTGGATTATTACGAATATGAGTGAATATATTAGGCGAAACAGTGTAGGGTAGATCATTGTACGCTTTGCCCGACTACAGCGTTCTTATTTGCTTTATATAAAATTATAATTAATCGGTACACATAAAACATAAAACAATACAACAATTAAAACAACTTTGATTTTTCATGTTTGTTGTCGACTGTTTTTATTTTCTTTCTCTTTTTTCGCACTTGTTCTGGAAATAGTTTGTTAATTTAAATGGATCTACACATTGGCTGTAAAATTCATAGAATGGAGGAGGATGTAAACTAAAACTGTACACTTCTTCCACTTACTTTGCTATTTTGTGGGCGTTTGAAATAAAAGATCAGCCAGAGTGTCAGCATTCACCTAAACTTAACAGATGTGGTTATCACTACGAATAACCACATAAATTACATAACATTAAAATATAATTTATAAACCAGATTACGGAATTTGATCGACGATGAAAAGAGACAAACTAAAAATTCAAGTTTGCAAATGCGTGAGATTTATTCGATCATCGGCCCACAATACTCAATACATATTCAGCCACTCTCCGATATTTGACTGTGCTTATGCGTTTTGAGCTTAACTCCGAAAAGGAGTACAGAAGAAAAATCTCAGATGTGCTTAATGTTGATACCAAGCCCCTGGAGTAGTAGTTGCGGATTCAATAGATAAAAAGGCATTTTTTTTGCTACATATATTATAACAATCCAAAGAGATAGGTAAACAGATGTTCATATCAGTTGCGAATATTTCCGTTATTCCATTTGCAGCTTTTTACTTTCATGACAGTTTCGCAATAGTTCGTTGTACTTTTTATCCCTTTTTTTGTTTCGCTCACATAATGAACCAAAGAGGTTTTTCAGCAAACCTTCGGGCAATTTCAATTAAAAGTTTCAATTGAAAATTTCGCTCTCCTTCATCCGATTTTATTTCAACGTATTAACTTTCGATTTTGGTTCTCTGAGACTTTAGTTGTGTTTTCATTTTCATTCAATTGCTATTCACGTCTACTTGCATTCATGGCAGAGATCTTTTGTGAAATTTCCAAAGATAAGGAAAATATTCCCTTTTCTTGTAATCGTACAAAGGATGATACCAAACCCCGCATATTGGAATTTAAACAAAATGTTTATTTTCAGGAGATTTTTAGTTTTTCTTACAACTTTTAGAAACATTTTTCGCATGATTACTAAGTGTAAGTAACTTATTTATACATTGCCCTGCAAGTAAAGTCTATGGTAGAATATGATGACTCGAAGAGAACCAGGGTTGGATAGTATTCGTGTCACTTTAACTTATAATCTAATAATATTTTAACGTTAACGTAAAGTTCATACAGATATGCGATGATGAGTGGAAGATGGCCCGAGCAGGGGAATATAGATTTTACTTAACCTAACTAAAATAATAACAAGCATATGCGAACAGAAATTTCGAAATCCCAATAGGACTTCTTATAACTACCCAAGCTGCCGACACAAATTCATCACAGTTGTAACCGCCGACGGGTTACAAGTATTTTTTTGCACCGTGAAATATTAACTCTTTCGAAGTCATCTAAATAGGAAATTTGTATAACAAAAGAATTGCAATTATACACGCTCGCGCGTACGCATATATTTTTTCTCTTCTTACAAGCGCCTCGACACTACCTAGTACCTAGTTATGAACTAAATGTATAAATATTATCTTTTAAATAAATGTAGCCATAAAAGAATAACGATTTCTCCCTTCGTCGCGCATCAATGCCACGAGAAAATTGCATGACTTACTAAAAGGTAAGCGGTGGATACTAGAATACTGCCGATCATAACGGGGAAGCCTACTCTGTAAATATAAAGAATTTGGCTTAACCGACTTGTAATTCAACCGAATTTGCTCTCGAAAACGTACTTGAAGAATTGAAGGAAGGTAAACTTATAACCGTGTTGTTCTGCAACACCAGCGCAGACAACATTCGCCGAAGCTCCAATCAATGTGCCATTGCCTATGAAAGTGGAAACCTTATTACATACATGCATATTACATTTATTGAAGTGTTTTCGTACCTCCCAAACAAGCGCCAAATGCTAGGGCCCAAACTAGCGGCTGCAATGGCAAATTGAGTGCTTTGTTTTGGGCTAACGATATTGTTATTTTAACCATCATAGTCGTCAAAGGTATGTTATCCACAAAGGCTGACGCTATTGCTGAAACCTTGAGCAAAAAAATGAAATGAATGTGGAGGAGAAAATACTTTTATGATTTCTGTACCCATCACCGAAAGATAAGAGGTATATTCATTTTGTCAAAAAGTTTGCAATGCCCAGAAGGAAGCATCAGCATCAAATTCTAAATCAATTAAAACATGTCCATCTGTCCGTCTGTGTATATTACAATGTTACAGCTCTTGAATGCACCTAAATATGGCTTGTTTGTCTGTCCATCTGTCTGTTTGGGTAGCTTTGTAGTATTTGTGATAAACATTCTTCCGTTAGCGAAAACGAAGATATTGTCCACAAGTTTGCAAAAGGTTTTGGAATCGAACTAAACTTTCAAAGAACACACCTACAACGCCCACATGCTTATTAGGCAAAAACGTTTATTTTAAAAATAGAAGAAATCAGTCTCTTTTAGCGCTTGTAAAGCGTAGGACACACGTGTCGACGAATATTCGTATTTAGTTCGCCAGTGGATTCATTAAAAAAGCCTGCCTGCTTTGGCCGAAAGTTGGTTGAAATCGGTGGCAAATAGTGCTTGGAAATATCACATAAATGCGAAAAATTTGAATGGAACGGAACCATTTTATAAACTCGCTCATAATCAGAGCTGTCACACTGCATATGAAAACAAGATTTAGATGGAAATTGGACCAGACTAGCGGTTTCGCGTATGCATTTATTATGCTTAGTTTGCGTTACATGGATCTATTTTTCGGATAGTTCCCAATATAAGAGTCTTACATGATAACAAGGAGTAAATTTTGATATTTTATAATGAAAATAGGTGACGAGTTTCATTAGGGGAAGCACTGCAGAGACTGTGATGAGCTGCCCTGTCTGAGTGTAGCGTTTCTTTTTGCGTCATTTAGTAGAGATAGCAACTTACCCATAGTATAATCAATACGGCTACCATTAAACGTGATTCTTCGCCTACACCTAGTATAAAGTTTTCGGTCATACTTCCAATCCACTCAATTAGGCCTAGCTCTGACAAGGCCTCCATCAAGATGAATAAAGCCGCAAAAAATAATAGCGTTGACCATTCTACTCTCGCCAGGATGGCTTCCATGTCTTCAATGTCTGCTAGAATGATGAGAAATATGGCACCAAGAAGAGCCGTCCAACCTAAGGACAATCGTTGCAGCTCGGGAACTGAGTGTAGGAAGAACAGACTTATCACAAAAATTAAGGCACACGAACACTTAATCAGTAGAGTTTTGTTACGTATAGGATACTAAAAAAAAAGGAAAAACTTGCTATTTTAAGGTTATGTTTAATAACAAAAGCAATTAGTTAAGGAAGGAAGAATGGAAACTAACTTTGGCTTGCAAATTTTCTAGGGTTTGCTTATAGTCTATCGCCGGGTCGATAGTTGTGGCAATTTTCTTTTTTAAGCTGGTCTTCAAACGGTTAACTTTCTTCATCAAAGTCTGTCGCACCAGTTCCTCATCCTTCGAATAAGAAGACAGACTAGCGGCTGCTCTTTTCCACACATGAATTTCGTGGCGTAAATCCTCGATATCTGGCGATTCCTTGAACTGCAAATCACTGATATTTCGAAATTTAAAACGTAGCTGTACATATGTCTGCAACATAACCAAAATCACTCCGGGCAACATGTGAAGTGTGAAAACGGCAAAATTGACTCCCTAAGAGGAGAAAGCTATGATCACTGTAACGTGAATATTTAATGCCCACCACCTCGGCTTCTATGCAATGTAAGTTTACCATACACTTAGACTTGATTTGAAGGTCGAGCTCAGAACGTAATATAAATACGGACAATTGAAATCGAATTATTTTTCGCCAGCTCAAGGCCAGCGTAAGGTTTGATTGGAATCTTTCATATAACATCATTGAATAATTTTTTGGAGAGGGTTCGCTTTGTTTACATTAGTGGGTCGACAAGAAAATAGACGGACCGAGAAGGTTAAATCATATTAGGTTTGCAGATCAATGACAAATTTTTCGTGGATACGTTTCTCAAAATCAATCATAAACTCCTCGGTGGTGGTCTTGAACTTGGAAGTACGATCTGTTGCAAGTTCCGTTAAGTCACTGAAAACATTTACATTTTTTGATATAAAATTGTTGGACGCTATTATGACATTAGGTGGATCCCCTACGGGCGTCAAGGCGCCGCCAATGTTGGAATAGATGACCATACACATGAGAATAGGAACCGGGTTTAGAGACATGACTTCACAAAGCCTAATAGTAACTGGCGTCATAAGCAGCACTGTAGTAACATTATCGAGAAATGACGATAAGACAGCGGTAAAAAGACATAAGCAATTTATTAAGGGCCACACGTGACCGTTTGTAATCTGCAAAAGAGCAACGCATTAGAGGAACAAACAATAGAAACCATGTGAACTATTTATGTCACCTTATAAGCATACACTGCCAAGTAATCGAATACTCCCGTCTCTGATAAAATAGCGACTAATATCATCATACCGAACAGCAGAAGCAGTGTTTCCACATCTATCCACCCCATTATGGTAACCATAGACGGCCTTGAATTCAGAGCAGCTAGTATGCCGACCGATAAAGTGGATGCGATGATTGCGGCAAATGTACGATTTACGATCTCCCAAATAATCATAATATATAGTCCACACAAGACAATGGCTGCATAGATTACCCCTTCTTTCTTGTAAATCGGTGACTTATCTATACAGAGCTGCATTGGAAGTTCGGCTGCTATGGTCGATTCGAAACGTAAGTTCAGCTGACTTATATTCCCATGAGCAGGATTAGTGTCATCGATCGGACTTATTTCGAACTGAGAGGTCTTTTTCGTTTCTCTAGTGTAATCCATAGCTTCTGGATAAACCACATCTAGTTGCCAAACATTTGATACTATTTCCGTATCCGCTGTCTCGCCGCTAATATTGTAATAAACACGTTCCACACACACTTCTAATAGAGGAGGTGGTCGTTGCAACTTATCAACCACTGTATCAGCTTCTTGTAGTCTGAAAGGTCCTTTCAAACTCAAACCTATTCGGGTCAACTCCTCCGTGCTGATGGGAAACACTGCAAAGGAACGACAAAATTAAATGATAAATTTCAAGACTAACAGAAATCTTGTCTGAATCATGAACAGACATCGCGTGCAATTTATGTAGGTCCTACAGCTTGCAACCGTGCTCTGCCTATCAAGCTCATAGGAAATTTTTAAGCGTGCAGAACATACACATATATTTTAGCATAGAAATCTTCGTCGAGCTGCAGGATATGCAATCAATGTAAATAATTAAAGACATAATGACGTACATTTTTTTGCTCCATTTGCTGGTATGCTTATAAGTTTCAGGACATCTACATGTTCGTTCGTGGACATCAGAAACGCGGTAAATACCATCCACACTACCAGCAGCACGGAAATCTTAAACCATATCAAGTATTTTTTCACCTGCGCTTGCGTAAGAAAAAGTAATATAACTAAAGAAACTGTTAAATGCGTTTTGCAAAGTTCAGGTTACCTTAGATGTTACTGACTGCTCTGGATCATCTTGCTGATCGTCGTTGTTATTCTCAACTTCACGTCCATCCAAAATACGCATTTGGCCCATTTCGTTGGTAATATTGAAGGCATTAAATTTCTTAACGTTATCGCTCGGTTTATGATCCAAACAATCATTGTCGTTGACCAAATCGACATCAACGACCCCATTGTTTTGACTTCGTTCATCTACATCATCAGACGGCAAGGGGTCCACATCAGTAGGTTCGTAACCTACAAACCATAAAACGATTTATATACATAACCAAATCAGTCTTCATCAAGTCTACGCTTGTGAAATCTATTTCGCTGCACTGCACGCGATAATAGTGCAACAGCTAAGCGAAGCGACAACTAAATTTCTTTCTGCCATTCCGACTTCAATTCTTACAAATTTCGAAACATTTCAACTGGCAATGTTAGCGCTCGATCCCAGTAAACTGGGATAGATTGATTGAGCTGACTCAATAAAACTTTTGTTTTTGCCTTGTGTCCGAAGAGATGTGCTCTGTATTAGTGGCATCGACAATAAGTATGCAACTTGTGCCAAGTGCAAATGTTACCCACCTCCAAAGCGTGACAAATATGAAATGTGATGGACCGACCGTACATGCATTTATACGAATACGGGAGCATCTAATAGCTCGCTTTAGAACATGATGTTCTTTGCTTTATCAGAAAGCGGTTATTCGCGCGAATAAAACTTTGAAGCCGTAATGGCGATTTCATCAATACATAGTTACACACACACACGCTTATCAAAGAGAGTTCCATTTTATAGCATCTTCGCTATGTATCTTTTTGTCTTATAAATATTTAGCAAACGAAATTCCATAACACATACCATGCAAACGTTCATGCTCCTGGCGAAATGACGCTAAGCTGGGATCTTGTCTGATACGTTCTGGCAAAGCACGCCACACCTGCAAGGCGCCTTCAGTTAGTTCGCTAAAATTAAAAGCAAACATCGTTTAGTTACTATAATTATTCATTTCAAAAGCATTTTCTTTATCAAAAGAACAGCGAATAAGGTCGATAGGGATATATATCAGGAATGTTCCTTTGCGCAAAGTAACAGGTTTGCGAAGGAGAAACTATTTTTTCTTTTGATAAACTGTTGACATTTTTGATAGCAACTGTGTTATTTACACGGAAATATAAATATTAAGCGATAATATCAGTAAAATCAGTGGCTTGGACAATCCGTCCCATTGTGGGGCACCCATGTGTTATCAACATCGGAAATAAGCAACGGATAAAAAGGCAACATTCGGCTTAAGATGTTCTATACATTCGCACTTCTTTGTCATTCTTCCGGACATATTTGCAGGTTTGTGTGTCATAATCAATTTTGGCAATTTTTGTATTATTTTGTGCAGGGGAATGTAAGTCTTTATTAAAAAAAAATGCAAGCCGGTTGAGTCACAACAGAAAACCTATGGCAATTGTTGTATGTGAAAAGTCCGGGACGGACATAAACTCAGAGAAGTTAAAAAGGTGGTGTGATTAGCATTTCAATAAAGGCGTTTCAAGTCAACTCAAGAGTGGGAAGAAAATTCTTTGAAGCATCGGATAGGCTATACTTCACTCAGCCTATGCAGAATTAGTGAAGAACTATGTCAAAGCGAATTGTAAGCAATGCTTGCCATGTTAAAGACAAGAAAATAGATTTTGATAAATAAATCATTTTTTGTTGAACAATTCCGTGCACTATTTACACACAATGTACATTAATTCATGAGCGCAAATTATAAAATATTCAAATGGCTCCCACAACACTTAAGAACGATTCTAATATATACGTATATGTATATATAGCACACATTTATAATATAAACGTACAAATCTCATTTTCAATTGTTATATCGCAATCTAAAATCGGAGACATTGAAGAAAAGGCCTGAGCTCGAAGCTTAAATGCTCGCAACTAGTAAAATAAACGAAATTGCTGTCTGCGATTTAGTTTTAGAAAAAAAAAAAAAAAGATTTTTTTTTTTAAGCACACTTTGCATTGCATGTCTACCTACGGAACGTATGCATACACACATATGCATCTAGAGGAAAGAATGAAAAGTAGGTGGAGGGTCGAAAGTAGTGGAGAGGTGAATATACACTATAATATCATTTTATCACACTTTAACATAATTGTGCAAAACGATAATTCCACTGATGACTGACTGACTACTGATGAGCGGCGATCATAACTTTGAAATATATTTCCACCAAAAACAAAAAAGACTAAATAGCGTACACTTAAGCTCAAGATCATGCACGATTTTAGGAAAATTGCTGGAAACCTCTTATTAATAAACGTGCTCGCTGCTTAAAGCATTTAAAGATGAAATTCCCCTGAAGGCATGTAAACTTGTATGAAAGATTTTTGCGATTAAATTGACAATTTTAATGAATATTTATATGTGTATATTAATAAATGCGCAAAGCATGTGCACTCACTCGGTGGGATATGCCTTAATATACTTGTGCAAAAAAAACTGTTTTCAATGCAAAGTATGACAAATATTTTTCAAGGCCATTTCAATGAAATTCACTTTCTGGGGCTACATCTGCCCTCTTTCAAAAGCTACTCTCGAAAATTTGTACTTTTTTTTAACTTTACTTTACCAAGCGCGTGAACCGTTGACTAAATATCCATGTGAACGAAGACGGGGGCGAACAACGGACGTTGAAATATTCCAGCCCTAGATGAAGTTATGTTACACACAGACTGATGACGATGCGCGCAGCTTTTGCTACGAGAAAGGATAGGTGGAAGTTCAAAAGCATCTTTCAGGTTTTTACAAGTTTTCTAAATTTCGTCAATTATTCTCATTCTTTCAGAAACTTCCCGAATGGACTACAC